ATGATGATAAACCTCTGTCGTAATATTTAGTTCTGGAGTACAGTCATAGTCCAGATAACAGTGGCGTTGATCCATTATTTACCGAAAATTTCGACAAGAGTTGCACGCGTAAAAAAATATGCAACTGCAAAATAAGACGCACTGATTAGTAGGGTAATTGTGTGTTACTCCCTACGTGTGAGCTTGTGCTATTCCAACACACAATTCCCTAAGTGTCGCCGAAGTCGCACCAACCTCTTCTTCACATGATTAGTAAGGTCTTTGCAATGATCGTGTGCGCGTTCGTGTGTTTTCATGTTGGTGTTTGTTTTGTGATGCCAGCTCAGTGGAGAAGAGCGTTTTCAGCTTGTGAGGCATGTACACAACAAGTGTGCTGGAAGAGTGCCGGTTGTTGCGGGCGGTAAGGGAACAATTAACTTGTTCTGGGTGGTTATAATAACATAGCATTATTTAACTTATAAATCGCAAGGAGCAGCTAGTTCCATTCTTCCCCGCTGTATTCCGCACGCACCTAGCCAGCTTGTTGTTTTAAAGTCTGCCTTGCTTCCGTGTCTGCTTCATCCTGAAGATGGTCAGAGTGACCGAAACGTTGAGAAGAAAGAAGAATTGTTCAGCTTTGTGAAGAAGCAGTGCATCTGCGTGTTGGCCAGTGTTGCCACAATACAAGTTGCTATAATGAAGCTGCGTGAAGCGTCGTTCCGAATTTATTATAAATCTTATGTCATCTTTACTTTACTTCACCATAGGTACAGGCAGGTGGATGCAGTGAATGGGATTTTCAGTCTTTGACCACTCTCTGTGCTGGGTCTGATCTACTCACCTCCCACCGCTTTAGGAGCTGCATCCGCGCCTTGATACACAAAGGGTGCTGGCGTCTCTACGGATGCGCAAAACTTGGCCTCCAGCAGAGTCCAACATGAACCGTGAAAGAAAGAAAGAAAGAGAAAAAGTACAGGCATTGCTGCCTTCTGGCTGTGGATCATGAATGATGCCACAGCTCTTAGGGTATGGTGAAAAATGCCATTGTGGCCACCAAGAGATCTCTGTGTTTTTAAAATCAAATTGCATGAGTTCACTTTAAATACGGGGCGGGCCAAGAACCGTCTTTTCGCTTCCGTGGGACGCCACCACCCCATGATCAGGCGTCAGATACGGCACCTAAACTGTGTGTGTGTGGGGGGGGGGGGGGGACTGTCAAGACATGACCATAACGGGCGGCAGAGGCATCAATGCCCCACCATCACTGCTGCGTCTCGGTGCAGCGCCTGCTCATTAGTTGTCACGTTTGTCCTAGTCTCCGTACCATTGTCTTTCCATATTCTTTTCGAGCTGGTTATGTGAACATAGTAAAAAAAAAAAAAATAATAATAATATCACTCCATTCTCATAATTATTTGCTTCCGTGTACATGTGGCTGGGCGTGTACTTGGCAATTAGCATACCGTATTTCCCCGTAAGTTAGTTCTCCCCAATGACTTAGTACCCCCTATAAAATACACTTTCCACTGCCAAGGTTATCACCCCGAAAGACAGTTCCCCCCGAAAGATAGTAAGTTCGTACCCGTCCTACATGTACAGACACCGTACAGTACATACATCATATGCACGGACACTAGAGTTGCGTAGGCTTCCCACTGCGTGTCATTTATCCCCGATAAAAAAGTACTCCCCGAAAGATAGTACCACCCCCGGAAGTTAGTACTCATGTGACTGCTAAGTTCGAAAGTTAGTACGTACTAACTTACGGGGAAATACGGTACCGTATTCTCCGGAGTATAAGCCGCGCAGGAGTATTCGTATAAGCCGCACCCCCGTTTTCTTGCCACGTAATAAAAAAAACCATCTACCCTATCTACCATCGTTAATTTGATCATCGGGATGTGAGGCGCACACCCCCCCCCCCCCCCCTTTTGGTGGTGAATGCATCAATGTTGAGTGTTCAAAGTTAGGCTTATACTCCGGAAAATACGGTACATACAAAAACACAACCCTCTCGTGTGTACCAGCCATCGACTTCTCCGTCCATTTTCGAGGAGTTCAAGTTTAACATATCAGACTGTTGCTCAGTGTAGTCAAGCTCCTATGGATGATGTCGTCGACACGTTAGAGCGTCTGAAGTAGCTATCTGTCCTGACTAGCTTCTCATGTACACATGTTACATGACCCTGTAGATCCCAAAAGGGGGGCTTATGTCATTTTTGAACATTTTGAGATATCTATACCATGGCATTGCTGTATCCCAGCAGAGCACTCTGTTAAAACCTAGGTCCAATTTTTTTAAAATGTTTCATAGAGTTATTGGTGTTTCAATAGGTGAATTATACTTCGCCTAACAAACACGACTTTCAGATTGCATTTTTCTCCGTACTGCCCGCAAAACGACATAAGCCCCTATTTCTGGATCTCGAGACTCATCTCATTTCACACGGGAAGTCCTAAGATATCGCAGAAACAAGTCAAATCTGTACGATTTTGTTATATTTATACAGTCAACTTCGCTAATAACGACTGCGGATATAACGACAATTCGCGAATAACGACAGAATTTCCATGCCCAGAGCAAAGTCCCATCTACCTGTATGAGACTTCGGGTATAATACGGACACTTCGCGAATAAGGACACTTTTCTGATGCCCCGCCGAGTGTCGTTATACGCGAAGTTCACTGTTCTTCATGTTATCTCTGTATGTGTCTTTGCCGTTTCGCTCTTTCCCAATGTACATGCTGGTACCCAACAGGAACATTTAGAGACTGCGGCTCATTGGAAAAACAAGCCCAATTTATGCTGAAGATATCCGCACATTGTGAAGCTGTCGTCATTGTCGTCAATCAACTAGCTACTCAAGACGAGGTGAGGAATCCTTTGCGTCCGTTTTAGTTTGTGAATTGCGATGACAAACAAGTTTGCACCTGCAAACGTTTGGGATTGAAGTCAATTTGATGATTGACTTGAGTCTAACGTTTCGCGTTTCGCGCCCACTTGCTTTCATGATTTCACGCCCATCACGAAAATCGCGAATGTTTCAGGATCGCAAAGGTTGCAGTGGCTACAGCACTCTTATTTTCACTGTCGGTGAAAGACAGTTGGTTCTGTAAATGGTGGAGCACTGCAAGTGCCCCCCCCCCCCCCTGAGCACTGACTTGCATGCTTATCTTGCGATTGAGTACATTTCACATGATACCGTCTCTTTGGTCTTTGAGCTGCTCTCCTTTGCGCCATGTTGTCTGTTCTGCTCTTCTCTTGCGCAGGATGATGCCGTGTGGATGCAGCGTGTCCAGCAATTGATGAACTTGACAGGAGATCTTGCACTCGGCATCTATGAGAGCCCACTTCCGTATCATAGGTAGGCCCCTAGGGCGTTGCTTGCTCCGTTGTGTGTGTGTGTGTGTGTGTGTATATGTGCGTGTATGTGTGTGTGTGTTCTGGCAGTAGGAAGTATTTATCACGCCACCTGTAGCGCACTTGACGCTGTCCGCTGACCCACTCCACACGAGAAGAGGAAAACGGTAATGTCCGTCTCCACTCCCGAGGATGTAGGAGAAGATGCAAACATTGCAAGTGCAGGACAGCACAGGGACAGAATTTACACTTCATGTACCAGTAGGCAACTAGCTACAAGCTAGCACAATGTTCAATGTTCTAATCTTTCAAGTGACATTTCCTTTTCCACCTGGACTCCTTCTTGTTTTCCCTTTTCTCTCTAGCTCTAGCTATAGTATTCACTTAAATGTGGGGCTTTGAATAAAACAAGTCGAGTACAGAAGGAATAGCAATGGAAGTGAGCATATTTCTCTCAAGTGAAAAGTTACAGTAGATACGAGACATAGACATAGACATTCAGATATTCATGGACATGGACATTGGAAACATTGCGCAGGGCTCACTGCCTAGTCAGTCTGAGCACTCTGGCAAGGTACGTTAGCACCTTTAAAAAAAAAACTGGCCTTGGAAACTCTGTAGTTTTGTCATTGCTGTCCGGATTGGCGTCATTCTCTCATTGGGCTGCGCAGGCGATTCCGCGAAATGAACAATTCTGTCTGTATATGGAGTGAAACTGGCGGTATTCTTGCAATGAGGACAATGCCCTACATATCTATTCACGTACAGTCAACTTCGCTAATAACGACTGCGGATATAACGACAGTTCGCGAATAACGACTGCGGATATAACGACAGTTCGCTAATAACGACTGCGGATATAACGACAGTTCGCGAATAACGACATAATTTCCATGCCCAGAGCAAAGTCACATCTAACTGAAATACTGAGGAGCTCTAACAGAGCGAAACAGTTGCTGTCCACAGATTTGAGTAACTGAAATACTATAATTACAATGACACTTCGGTGTATAACGACACTTCGCGAAAAACGACACTTTTCTGATGCCCGGCCGAGTGTCGTTATACGCAAAGTTGACTGTACACAATCTCCTGGCAGCTAGCTGCTTCCACCTTGTCAGGTCTACTCGGTAGGGCTCAGAGTTACTGGCCAAGAAAATCACAGTGAAGTCTAATGAGCAAAACACATCAATTAATAAACCGGTCTCAAACGTCAAAGCCAGAGTACTGTCACCGTGATTTTCACAGCTTTGCTTCATCTAATCTCCTACGCAGGCGTACAGTCAACTTTGCATATAACGGCACTCGGCGGGGCATACGAAAAGTGTCCTTATTCGCGAAGTATCCCTATATCCTTATATCCGAAGTCTCATTATATGTATTACAGTTAGATGGGAATTTGCTCTGGGCATGAAAATTCTGTCGTTATTTGCGAATTGTCGTGATATCCGCAGTCATTATCAGCGAAGTTGACTGTACATGCAGGAAAATCCCTGACCGTTGCTCTGCTGTCGTTGTGGGTACGTGCAGGACGCTCACACCAAGTATGGTGGAATGGCTGGCTTCGTCGGGCCGCATTCGGTTCTACAAGGACACAAGTCTCCATCTCACGGCAATGGCGGGGAAGTTGACGGCCGCTCGCAGGGTCGATCCCCACTTTCGGTGAGTTGCTGTCGTTCCTTGTATCCAAAATGATTTCAAACTTGTAACCATGCATACCGTAACCATGCATACCGTATTTGCCGGAGTATGGTGCGTAGTTTACAATCAACTCTTTCATGCCCCAAATCGCAGGTGCGCACCATGTACCAGGGGGTTATTAACTCTTGTTAGCACGTGCATTGTACAAATGTAAACTGGTGGCACTAACTGTTATTCTACTGTCTATCTGGTCGATCATGCTGTCACCAGCCATCCTATAAGTACACGCATGAACTATGGTGGATGCACTGGCGGGACCTCCACCCCCCCCCCCCCCCCCCACCGGGCCCAGGGAAACCTCAAGATTCCGAGCATTGTTGTATGTCCACAAGCACATGGTCCATCAGATCTACCATCATGAAGAATGTATGGGCACTGGAAACTGATGCGGAGAATTGAGTAGCGACTACCATGACGTCTAGTTGTCCTGAATCAATCTTTGGATATTCTGTGCTCACCCTTTTTCTCTGTTTGTGTCAGCTTCTTCACAGCGAAAGCCGTGTTCTCATTGAAGTGTCTGCGCAGTAATGGCAGTGGTTATAGTGGCATTGCTGCAAACTTCTTCCCATGGCTGTTTGTCTGGCTGTGTGAGAACCACGCCAAGAGGCCACAGGATGCCGAGAGAGTGCAGCGCTTTCTGACCTTGGCGGACTTCACGCTGCGGTTCAAGGTGAAAACCGAAATGCTGTACATACTTCAGTATATAGCGTTTGTGTGTGTATGTGTGTGTGTGTGTGTGTGCATATGGTTGTGTGTGTGTGTGTGTGTGTGTGTATGTGTGTGTGTGTGTGTGTGTGTGTGTGTGTGTGTGTGTGTGTGCATGTGGTTGTGTGTGTATGTGTGTGTGTGTGTGTATGTGTGTGTGTGTGTGTGTGTGTGTGTGTGTGTGTGTGTGTGTGTGTGTGTGTGTGTGTTTGTGTATGTGTGTGTATGTGTGTGTGTGTGTGTGCCTTTGTTGGTTTTAGGGTTCCTAAACTTTCCTTTTGAAGCATACATACCTGTTCACCATGGACTACTTCTGGCTTCTGGCTGAGTGTAGTGGGGGGGGGGTAGAGTGCAGTGGGGGGGGGGGGGGGGGGGGTCGTGATTGACCATCTTACGCAGTCGTTCGGGCAATTTATTCCACGCTACACCATATACATGTGACTGTCGTTGACATGGCAATCCGCTCGCACGTCTAGCAGCCCCAGGGGCGCTGGGCATGCAGCCATTGGTAAGCGGTACACACGTAGGTATGCGCTGCATGCAGCGCGGTGGTCGCATCGAATCAACCTGATTGTGCACTGGGTGCAAGGTTCTGTACGGGCTAAGGGCGCCGGCCCCGGTCAATCGACTGGATTAAGTGGATTTCCATGTCCACGACAGTAGGTCCTTGGTCCTTTTCTCGCTATAAATGCATAATCCTTAGCTCTGCACCCCGAGTCTATTCTTCTCCATGGGTAACACTGTTATACACTATACCATGTGATGTCAGTATCATGTTTGGCGTGTGACGTTTCTGCAGTACCCAGTGTCAGCCAAAGCTTATCATAGATTGATGTACGGACTGGAAATCACACCGGCTGTACGAATACAGACACCAACGCTAGATTCAATTCTCACGGAGACCGAGGTAAGCGAACCGGGTTACCTGTGTGCGTGTGTGTGTGTGTGTTGTTGGTGTGTGTGTGTGTTTGTGTGTGTATGTGTGTGTGTGTGTGTGTGTGTGTGTGTGTGTGTGTGTGTGTGTGTGTGTGTGTGTGTGTGTGTGTGGTGTGTGCGTGTGGGTGTGGATGTTTGTGTGGGCGTGTGCGTGCATGCGTGCACAAGTTGGTGTGTTTTGTGTGTTTATGGGAAATGATTGTACCAACAAGTGTTGGAAGTGCATCCCCTGACCACGCAGTCGTATGCTTCTCCTATCTGAACCACAAGTGTCACCTAAGTCTTGTCATTGGGGCAGAGAAATGGAACTCCAGTATATCTTGTGCATGGTCTGGTCCACCTATTCATTCAATCATATTATCTGCAATGGCTGCATAATTATAGTTTTCTTTCTTTCTTCGAAAAACAGTTACTCAGAATATCGAAGAAAAAACAGGAATATTTTAGGAAAAATCTTGGAGATCCTTTGCACATACAAGTAGGAAGTGCCAAAGGGTTACTGAGGAGTCACTCAAATGTAGTCCACATGCTAATCGCCACAGGGGCCACAATCTGGAGTGACAGTATGTTGTACTTAGCATGCTGAAAATACCGGCCAGGGACCCATGATCATTACTTGGCTCACATTGCGGGCTACTACACACCTGCATGAATGTACAGTGAAACCTGTCCAAGACGACCGCTCACGGGGACCTTCAAAACCTGGTCTCTGTTACCAGGTGGTCTCCTTATCCAGGGTCATTTGACTGGAAATAGGATTCCTTGGTGCTGGTTTCAGTGGTCTTCTGGGACAGGTGGTCGCCTGATCCAAGTGGTCTCCTTGACAGGTTTACTGTACACATACAAGTACAGCGTAGTGAGTGCAGCAGACGTTAGGAAACATTTCAATTTGGATGGATGACGAGAGCTTTATGAATTGTTTTGCGAAATTAGAATGTCTACGCAATGTTATTGATTAACACCGTTTCACCCGGGAGTAGTTACTTTTTGACTCCAGGCGTGGTCACTTTCAAGCTCTATTTTATAAAATTAATGGTGTTTTTTTATCTGTTTCCAGATTGCCAAACTGAAGTACATGCACGAGGCCATGCTGAAGATGACGTCATCGTTGGGAGTGCAGCATCACTGCAGTTCAGACTTCTACAGGGAGGCGTGATTGCCCGCTCCGTCGGCGTGATCGTCCGCTCCGGTTGGCGCGATTGCCCGCTCCGGTCGGCGTAGTTGCACGCTCCGGTCGGCATAACTGCCCGCTCCGGTCGGCGTAATTGCACGCTCCGGTCGGCGTGATTGCACGCTCCGGTCACCGTAACTGCCCACTCCGGTCGGCGTAGTTGCACGCTCCGGTCAGCGTAACTGCCCGCTCCGGTCGGCGTAATTGCCCGCTCCGGTCAGCGTAACTTCCCGCTCCGGTTGGCGTAATTGCACGCTCCGGTCGGCGTAACTGCCCGCTCCGGTCAGCGTAATTGCCCGTTCCGCGTAACTGCCCGCTCCGGTCGACGTAATTGCACGCTCCGGTCAGCGTAACTGCCCGCTTTGCCCGGCGTAATTGCACGCTCCAGTCGGCGTAACTGCCAACTCCGGTCGGCGTGATTGCCCGCTCCGGTCGGTGTTCCGTATCTGCTGCTCCTCCGTGTGCACTCAGCACTTATGTGGCAGCATTTCCCTAGCCTAGAGAGGTCCATAGTTATTAGGCTTATGCCTGTTTTGATCCCCCTCCCCCCCCCCCCCCTCTCTATATAAAGTATACAACAGGAACAACCACAAAACAAGGATGTAGTGTTTCTCTGACTGATGTCGTTCTCCCTTATCCTATTGAGTTGAGTAGTAGTGCTGTAGGGAACCTAACTCTATTCTAGTACAGAACGATCTGGCTCTTGTTTGCAAGTCTAGCCTGCCTTACAGTGGACAGAAAGGAATGAAGAGGTACTCTCGTACTCCGAGTGAGTTGCAGCAGCTTCAGAGACAGCTCAATGTAACTAAGGACAGCTTACAGATTTCCTATCCCTTGATCGTGCACGCGTACAACTCCATGATACAGCAATTACAACTTTTATAATTTGACCTAGAATCTTCAGCTGCATTTATACATGCATGTACATGTATGTAGAAAAACATTTTCTCAGGTTCACAGACTCTACTGAAGCTAATTCATCCGTTATGTCTTCAATATTAATTCCATTTTGATTCTGTTACTCTTCAACAATTTCCAGAATAGTCTGAATTCCTTCAACAAGAACACTGGGTGTTATGCAGTGAAACCCTGTCTAAGACGACCGCTCAAGGGACCTTCAAAGTGCGGTCTCTGTTACCAGGTGGTCTCCTTATCCAGGGTCATTTGACTGGAAATAGCATCCCTTGGTCCTGGTTTCAGTGGTCGTCTGAGACAGGTGGTCGCCTTATCCGAGTGGTCGCCTTGACAGGTTTTTACTGTATTGTGAACCTGTGCCCATTATTTTTGCACTTTTCCCTACCTTGTCCAGATTGCTTGGCATGGTCCTTTCTACTTCGATCATACATTGATTGCAATGGTGAGGTGATGAACGAGTCGATCATAAAGACGCAATGGCGAGGTGATGAACGTACGCCAACATGAGGCGAACTTTTTTACTTTATAGCTAATTTCGATAACATAGGACATCAAGAATTTCCCCAAAATACTCCCATGCACACGACACCGTAGATAACACCTCTGTATGTAGTCACAGGATATTCATGGGTAGTTAGCAATTAATTGCTGCAGCCACTACCCGAGTGTGCTGAAACCGCCGCCTGGCTCACAGTTGGCCGGAATAACAGTACACATGTCACATCATCATGTACATGTAGTTTTGGAGTGGTATTACCTGTCCCTGCGGGAATTTGCGGAAAAAACTCTCGAAAACTTGCGCAAGAAATTGCGGCAGAAAACAACAAAAAATGCGACAAAAAGTGCGGAATGATGCAGAACTTGCCAGGAATTCGCGGAATTATTTGCAGAAAATTGCGGATTTGGGCCAAATCACGAAATTTGTTGCATCGTATATCTACTTCGGAGTAGTACTAGTCGTACTGTGCAAATAACGTACAGGATCATGGAAAGCACTGTGTGAAAAGTGCATGAAATAGAGTGCAGAAAACAACAAAAAACGTGGGAAATCGCGGATTTTGCTGAAAATCGCGGGTTTGGGCCAAAATCGCGAAATTTGTTGCATCCGTGGAATCGCGATTTCCTGGAGGGACAGTATTACATCACATACTGACAGTAGAGGAGCGCGTCCAAGAATGCTGGTTCCAAGGGGTTAACCTGGGGCGCTCTTATCATTAAATTTTTGTTGGGCAATTTGGCTGCGTTCTTATCTCTTAATTTGCTAAATCCTATATACAGGATTTTGGTCATATTTTTCAACTCAAAATGGGTGTGGCATGAGAATAGCAAAACCTATGTGACCAATTCTTCCTTGCTAGGTCTTAGTAGATATCGAGAGTTGAATAAGATAATTTTTTCAAACACTAACATCTCAGGCTCATCTCCTTGCCCAATATTACTAAGGCCTGTGCCCTATTTTACGATTCCTATAATTATATAGGATTTGAGATTTTATTGGACCTTGTTTTATCCTTAAAACTGGTAGTTTCATGACGGCATGTGCGATATGTCGTCAAGAAACCACCCTGTGCCACACCTGCAATGTTCTTCTGCACATTCACTGCTTCAGTCCTTTCCATGACAGCAGCTGAACAATTATGCTCAAATTTCCAATTATTGCTGAAAATGGGTATTCATCAGAAATATTATCGCCCTATGAATCTAAAATGTAAACATTTATGCCTCAAACATATTAACAACTTCCATGAAAACCATTTAATATGCCGTTATTATTGGTCGTGATGACCAATAACAACGGCATAAAAGGCACACATTTTCAAATCCTATATATAGGATTTTTGGCCAGCAAATTAAGAGATAGCACGTTCTTAGAGACAATTCGTACTGGATCATATCTATCCCATAAGCTACTGGAAACCCAACACCGCGGTTCTTGACTTTAGGCTGCGTTGTGAATCGTTTATTCAACACAAGGCTGAGAAAACTCACCCGGGTTCGAATCACTGAGTGCCAATTTGTCAATGACTCAGCGATACTTCCCAACACTTATGCTGGAGCTCAGGGGGCACTCTCTGCCTTCCAGACAGTCGCGAGCTCGTTTGGCTTGACCGTCAACAGAGCAACGACTAAGTACATGCCTGCCGGGAGTGGAGTATTACCATCAGACAGAGCTCCTTTACATGGCACAGTAGAGTGTGTAGATGCCTTCCGCTACCTGGGATGCCAGGTTACGCCCGATGCTCGGAGCACCTTCGATGTATCACGGTGAGTCGCTGCTGCCTCGGGTGCGTTTATCAGCCTGAAGCAGACCATTTTCTGCAATGATGATTTCCACATCGGTGCAAAACGGGTGGTATAATTATGGCGTCACGGTCCTTGCCATCCTGCTCTATGGCTCAGAGAATTGGACGCTGAGACAGAGGGACGTACGGAAGCGCGAGTCATTTCACCTGCAATGTATATGGTTGATGCTGAAGGTGGATCGGGGACGGCAGATCACCGATCGAATCTCTTCCCTCCAGGTTCGTCGCATGTGGGGTGACCTTGAGCATATCGTCGATTAGGTTCAGAGGCGCCGGCTCCGGTGGCTGGGACACGTTGCTCGGATGGGGAATCGCATTCCGCTGCAGCGATGTACGGGGCCGTGCCAGCTAAGCGCCCACCTCATGGCCCCAGGAAGCGGTGGAAAGGTGTTGCCAAGCCCAAGGCTGACCTTACCTTCATCGGCATTCCAGTTGACGACTTCATCGACATCGCCCGGGACAGGGAGGAATGGCGTCCGAGGTGCCGTGATGGAGTTGAGCACATCGTCAACATCAGGACTCGACCGGTAACGAAGCCGTTCCAATGCCCAGTATGCCACCGTAGTTTTCGTCGACGGCAGGATGAGAGTGGCCACAAATGCAACGAGACAAAACACTGCCGTGGGGTGCCCTGATGGACAGCACAAAACCGAGTCTGCCCCTTTGGGGGTCACATAGCCGGACACGGCAGTGGTACAAGGAAGGAAGGTGTGTGTGTGTGTGTGTGTGTGTGTGTGTGTGTGTGTGTGTGTGTGTGTGTGTGTGTGTGTGCCGGTCAAAGGTGGAGAGGGTAAGTGTTCTCAAGATTCTACAGTCAGGTGATGATTTCATTTTTACCGGACATCCGTGATGTCATCATGATGTCATGGGGACGTCCCGACGAGCACCTGAGGCGCAGCTTGGCAACAGCTGAGCAGGCTTCTGGTTTCCATCTCTGATTCTGATTACGACCAGCACGCTTGCAGCCCATAGCAGCAAGCAGATGTATGCAATGCCAATGCAGCCGTATCCTGGTCCTTGATCAACTGCAGACAGCCTGCCGGTGCAAGTAAATAAATTAGTTGGGACAAAGCTCAAAGTCTGATTCCTAGCCCGGAATCTAAAGGCAACGTCTGCTGGCGACTGATAGTGATACATGTGCATGTACACATGTACTTCGAAGTATGATCATCATCATCATCATCATCATCATCATCATCATCTATTAGTACGTGTACTTGTATTCATTTTATTCATGAGAGAATTCATCACTTCCACACTTGCCATGATGTTCTTTAGGCACACAACGCATGCTCACAGTGCACTGCGCGCACTGTCCCTAGCAAAGATATCATTCCCATGCCCACAATGTGTGCAGAGGCCCTGATAGCAAGATGATGCCCAGGTCTTCGACCCCGAACCTTCGCATTGGTGCTATGAATCGTACTGCTGACGAGGTCCACGGCGTCACACACACGCATACAAACACATGCACACACACACACACACACACACACACACACACACACACGCACACACACCCGTGCACACATACGCACATACACACACACACCTACATGTACATCTATACACGAAACGGAACGTCGCCACGAAGATATACAGATGTGAAGGCCAATCAGCCATACAGGTATCCTGGGAGTGAGAGTGTGAGATACAGCTGGTCGAAGGCGAGAAAGTGAGTTGTACCACCAGCTGTTGGCAAGCATTGAACATGCGCCTGAAGTGTAGGTTCGTTCACCATCAGCAACGAAAGCCTTGGCAAAGTTTGAAGCCTGTCGTCAAGTTTGAAGCCTGTCGTCTATCTGCAGTTATCTTTGTGAGAGGACACACTGGAAACGCGTCCACGTAAGTGAACACCACACACTATTGGACAGCGGATAGCAGTGAGTGAGTCACTTGCGCAAGTCGTCCAATAACCTCTGCTAGAGCAGGTTGAGGCGGGTAGGAGCTGAGCTGGAAAGCCTCACAGAGTCACACCTTGAGCGGTCTTGTCGCTAGCACCAACGCACGCATTGGTGGCATGGGTACTACTGGGAGTAGCAGTACCTTTTTGGAACCAGTCCGATATTCGATCTATGAAGATAGTATTGATACCGATGGAGCTGTTCAAGAGAATCTGGCCAAGCTAAACTCTAGGAGAATGCTGGCGATGATTACCTCGGTACTGGCAACTGCAGCCGTTCTTATCGCCATTGGTAAGATTTGTCGCAGGGCGCGTGTACGTATGTGTGTGTGTGTACATGTGTGTGTGTGTGTGTGTGTGCGTGTTTTGGGTATGTGCGTGGTTTTGGGGTATGTGCGTGCGTGTATGTGTGCGTGTATGTGTGCGTGTATGTGTGTGTGTGTGTGTGTGTGTACAGTCATGTATGTGTGTGTGCTTAGAGATCATTGTGTAGCTCCAGTGTGTGAAGCAAACACTTTCCTGTATTAAATTCTAAAAGTCTCTAGGGACAGGAGTCATCTCTTATCGTAGTTACGTGATGTGCAATTGTGTGTGTGTGTGTTTGTTCGCGTGTGTGTTGTTCTATCCATGCAGTGACGCCATGTTGGGTGACGAGTGTTAAGCTTGGCTCAAGTATTGGATTGTTCCACGCGTGTCACCATGGAGACTGTGTACTGGTGCATGGACAATCATGTACGTCACGTGACTGACACTGCCTTGTAGACTGTGACGTATTATCAATGACCATGTTGTTATTTAAAAGGGAATCCCCCCCGCCCGCCCCTCCCCTGGCGCCCCAAAAGTATTACCGGTACCCCTCCCCTCCCCGCTGCCCCAAAAGTATGCACCCCTCCCCTCCCCTCCCTGCTGCCCCAAAAGTATGCACCCCTCTCCTCCCCGCTGCCCCAAAAGTATGCACCCCTCCCCTCCCCGCTGCCCCAAAAGTATGCACCCCTCCCCTCCCCGCTGCCCCAAAAGTATGCACCCTCCCCTCCCCGCTGCCCCAAAAGTGTGCACCCCTCCCCTCCCCGCTGCCCCAAAAGTATGCACCCCTCCCCTCCCCGCTGCCCCAAAAGTATGCACCCCTCCCCTCCCCGCTGCCCCAAAAGTATGCACCCCTCCCCTCCCCGCTGCCCCAAAAGTATGCACCCCTCCCCTCCCCGCTGCCCCAAAAGTATGCACCCCTCCCCTCCCCGCTGCCCCAAAAGTATGCACCCCTCCCCTCCCCGCTGCCCCAAAAGTATGCACCCCTCCCCTCCCTGCTGCCCCGAAAGTGTGCACCCCTCCCCTCCCTGCTGCCCCGAAAGTGTGCACCCCTCCCCTCCCCGCTGCCCCAAAAGTATGCACCCCTCCCCGCTGCCCCAAAAGTATGCACCCCTCCCCTCCCTGCTGCCCCAAAAGTATGCACCCCTCCCCTCCCTGCTGCACCAAAAGTATGCACCCCTCCCCTCCCCGCTGCCCCAAAAGTATGCACCCCTCCCTTCCCCGCTGCCCCAAAAGTATGCACCCCGCCCCTCCCCGCTGCCCCAAAAGTATGCACCCCTCCCCTCCCAGGTGCCCCAAAAGTATGCACCCCTCCCCTCCCCGCTGCCCCAAAAGTATGCACCCCTCCCCTCCCTGCTGCCCCGAAAGTGTGCACCCCTCCCCTCCCTGCTGCCCCGAAAGTGTGCACCCCTCCCCTCCCTGCTGCCCCGAAAGTGTGCACCCCTCCCCTCCCCGCTGCCCCAAAAGTATGCACACCTCCCCTCCCCGCTGCCCCAAAAGTATGCACCCCTCCCCTCCCTGCTGCCCCGAAAGTGTGCACCCCTCCTCTCCCCGCTGCCCCAAAAGTATGCACCCCTCCCCTCCCCGCTGCCCCAAAAGTATGCACCCCTCCCCTCCCCGCTGCCCCAAAAGTATGCACCCCTCCCCTCCCTGCTGCCCCAAAAGTATGCACCCTCCCCTCCCTGCTGCCCCAAAGGTATGCACCCCTCCCCTCCCTGCTGCCCCAAAAGTATGCACCCTCCCCTCCCTGCTGCCCCAAAGGTATGCACCCCTCCCCTCCCTGCTGCCCCAAAGGTATGCACCCCTCCCCTCCCCGCTGCCCAAAAGTATGCACCCCTCCCCTCCCTGCTGCCCCAAAAGTATGCACCCCTCCCCTCCCCGCTGCCCCAAAAGTATGCACCCCTCCCCTCCCTGCTGCCCCAAAAGTGTGCACCCTCCCCTCCCTGCTGCCCCAAAGGTATGCACCCCTCCCCTCCCTGCTGCCCCAAAAGTATGCACCCCTCCCCTCCCCGCTGCCCCAAAAGTATGCACCCCTCCCCTCCCCGCTGCCCCAAAAGTATGCACCCCTCCCCTCCCCGCTGCCCCAAAAGTATGCACCCCTCCCCTCCCCGCTGCCCCAAAAATATGCACCCCTCCCCTCCCCGCTGCCCCAAAAGTATGCACCCCTCCCCTCCCCGCTGGCCTACAGGTACATGTACATGTACTTCAAGTACATGTCATGTATACATGTACCTCTCCCCCTGCTGCCCCAAGAAGTACATGTACAATGCACGCACCCCCCCCCCCCCCTGTTGCCCCAAGAAGTACAATGTACGCACACTACCCTCCCTGTTGCCCCAAACGTGTATTGAGCAGTAAACGGTTCTTCCTTGAAGGTTTTCCTGGTGGAAGGTGCTCGAGACGCAGTTGTGAGTCAGTCAGCGGTATCTAGTCAGTCGGTAGGAAGCGCGGGCGACGTTTGGAGCAGACCCCTTCTATGTTGCTTGTGTGTTCTAGAAACAATCTTAGAGGGTCTTTGGACTGCACACTTGAACTGTCCATACACTTATAGGCAGTAGCGCTTAGGCACTGGCGGATTCTGCTCGAAAAGCAGTGAAATTGGCAGAACCATAATAAACGTTATGGCGGGCAATTACTCGAATTCTGCTCCATTCCTTTATCCACATACCAAACATGCATGAAACGTACCAGAAAAAGTACCGAATTCTGCCAATTTTTCTAGCGGCAGAATCCACCGGACCCAAGACTAGCGCCGAAGATTGCGCATCTCTCACCCAGGTAGATGTGAAACCTTGCGTACCTCGACACAACGTTTTCATTACAAGTAAAATCACTTTAGTACATGAACTGAAGTACTAAGAAAAGAGGAAAGGAACAATAAGTTACGAGTTATAACTAACAGTCCACCAAGGTAACGAGATACATGCATTATACAGTCAGATAATGCGACTGTCGCCATCTCTCATCCAGATATATGTACATGTAGATGTAGATGTAGATGTGGAACTTTGCATACATGTACATGTACGTATACGGTGCCTTACACTGGACACACGTGTGTGTGTGTGTGTGTGTGTGTGTGTGTGTGTGTGTGTGTGTGTGTGTGTGTGTGTGTGTGTGTGTGTGTGTGTGGTGCATGTCTGTGTGTTCGCATGCGGCCTGAACTGAATGCACTGCAGATTACCAGGGCATCGGAGCTCTGGTGGCAGTCCTGATAACGGTCTCACAGATCATCAGCCTGGTGCTGTTCCGACGAGCACTCACAAACACTGTTATACTGTTCTGGAACATCTGCGCCTTCCTCTTCCTCTCCACTGGTAAGAACAGTTACTCTACATGAATGCGCATTGTTTTTAGCGTTTCACTGGTTTGAGGGAAATACGCAAACGGAAAACGTCTGAAGACAAAACTGACTGTCACCCCCCAAGATTCGAATGAGGGGCCCTCGCTTGAGGCCAGCGATGCTCTAACCAGTGTGCTATGTATGGTCTAGTCGTTGTCCCAGCAGAGACCGTTCAACATTCTCTTCAGACTCCGTAAAAACGTATCAGGTACTAGTAGGATGTAGAGAGGCTAAGATGCACGTTTTTTTCTCACGTGACTCTAAAGGTCAACTCGCGTTATTTGGCTCGCGCATCGAAAAACAACACGAGTTACCTGCAGCTCACGTCGAAATTAGGAGTTTCACGCCAAATTTGACGTGAAATTGTGCGTCACGTCGCAAAAAACGTGAATCTTAGCCTCTCTATTGATCAGTTGACGAGTGTTTCAGCTAATGTACGTCAAGTTTAGAAGCTTTTAATATGCACATGTAGCAGCAGTATTCTTGCCATGGTGTTCATACTCACAGCAACGTCCAGCGCACACAGCCACACTAAGCTCTAGGCTACGGAAGAAAGAACGCTGACCGACTTGTCAATGCGACCACTTGGATAAGGCAACTACCTGTCCTAAAAGACCACTGAAACCATGACCAAGGTACATGTATGCATTCTCCAGTCAAATGACCCTTGGTGAGGAGACAACCTGGTAACAGAGACCACGTTTTGAAGGTCTCAATTAAGCAGTCGTCTCACAGTCAGACAGTTTCCCTGTACTTACATTCCTATTCATCGAGAGAGCTGAAAACGGAAAAACAGTGCGAAGAAAAATTGACCGTCACCACCAGGGCTGAGGACTGAGGTATATTCCTACATGTATATTTTTTTCTTTTCAAATGTTAGTTTGGAGGCGGTTGTTTTATACGGTGGTAAAAACACACCTGGCCAGGTGGTGGTAAATACACGCAGGCTGCCCACACACATTCTCCCGCGTCAAGCTCCGTGTGAAGCCATCCAAGGAGAAGATTGCCTGATGAGTCCAGCCCGGACGAAACCTGCGACCTGCGTCGCAATCGATGTTTAGTTGTTGCTGTGTCATCTACTACGCGCCATGCGCTACCTGATGTACCAGCCTGTTATGTCGGACACCAGTACCCATGCATCGACTAGGCGTGGGAAAAAAATAATCGCCATGCGCGAACTGGTGGTGGTGGTGGTGGTGGTGAGAAGGAGAGCTCTGTGCCAGAACTACTTTGCAGCCTAGAGAGCGTGTGTGGGCAGGCGTGTATTTACCGCAATATGGCCAGGTGTTGTTACCACCCTATGAATCAAGCATAAGTACAGCTGCAGTGGAGTCTTCAACTTCATTCTCCCGAGTTTGAAGGCGGTCAATTTCACACACATCTTTGCATGATTCAACGACGCAAGTCCACGTAGTCAAGTCAAATCTGAACGATGACACACTTCCTTTCACCTACCATCTGTGGAACATGATTTCTTCTTTTTAGAATAAAAATTCTTACACATGTACATGTACATGTATGGACCTGAGAAGCAGTTTTGGGTAGTGGGTGTTGTTGTAAGGATGGTGAAAGTTAATTGCTACGGTGCGGAATATTCACGTGGTCACCCTAGGAAAAGTAGTAACTAAGCAACTAGACATGTGTCTCTTCTCTCCCGTTATTGTGTGTACTCTTTGTTCAGCGATGGTGTCCACATTAGCCATGGTGCACGTGACGTTGCAGATTGCGCCAGTCGTCAGCGGCAAGGTCTTCTACGGCCTCTCGTTCTTCCTGGCCTGGATCGGCACGATCCTGTGCTTTGTGTCTGGTGGCGTTCACTTTCATCTCAGCCACAAGTTTGTAAGTAAAATTCAAAAATATAAAGTTAAAAGTTCGTATTGCATCCTCTCAGTACGGCACCAGTCATACATGTAGGTGGGTCAGGCCGCTACACATTCACAACTACGGGTCATAATGGGAAAGTTTTCGTGCCAGTTTTAGCATGTCAAGCCTTCATTGGGCAAACCTGCAAGAAAGCACATCTCCCTGCACAATCCACAGTGTTTGATTGAGCTCACCCTTTTTGCATTGGGGAAACACATCACGTCCAATGTCACAGTGCGTACACATACACTGATACATGTACAGTAGAATATGTCAAGGCGACCACTCGGATAAGGCGACCACCTGTTCTAGTAGACCACTGCAACCAGGACCCAGGGGTGCTATTTCCAGTCAGTTGACCCTGGATAAGGCGACCACCTGGTGACAGAGACCACGTTTTGAAGGTCCCTTGAGCGGTCGTCTTAGACAGGTTTCACTGGCATAGTACACTAGTAATCAGATCACGGGAAACTATGGCTCGTGGGCTACTGCTGTCGTAGAGCTACAATGTGGCTGTTCTGTCTTCACCAGAGGAATTGTGAGTCGCTCCTCACATGGCCGCTGCCACGTAGGGAGGAGCACCATTCACTTCCTCCAGTATAACCAAACTTAAACGTGACTATAAATCTATAATATAAGGACTTGTGCGGCCGTGGGCGGTACAAATTTAAAAATCATGACAAGGCTACAGAGGAGTTACGCCATTCTTATTATAAATCTCTTCTCAGCAGTTTTTACTTCTTTAGTGATTACACAGTTGCCTGGTGATTGCCGTATGCATGAAACTCAGAGTAGCGACATTCTAGCCCTGCTTGCCCTTGGCCTTGTTGGTCTGTGAAGCAATTACGCTCCACCTGGGCGTTGTGTTGAGCACTGTCAGCACACTGGATGCATTCTCTACTACTAGTGCCAGGCATGTATTTGTTTATAGACAACGTTACGATAATTAGCTGGCTTGAGGGAAGGACACAAGCGGGAAAAGTCTGAAGAAAACATTACGATAATTATTATTTGAAACTCGGATGTTGAGCCAATAATAAATGTATTTCAAAGTAGACAGGAAAAGGAAAAATGGATACGAGTTGAGAGTAACTCTCCATCACTGTAACCAGATGCAGTAAAGTAAATTATCGTGTCCGTTCCCGAAGGGAACTCACGACGGCCGCTAACACCCGATAAACCCTAGCGGCAGATGCAGCGCCTAACGGTGGGGGTGAGTAGATAAGTCTCACAACTACTGGCACAAGTGCCGAGAACGACCCCATTAGCTGCATCCATGTACCCCTTGTGCCTGGCCACAAGTTCCCAGTTGACTGTGGGTAGCAGCACGGCTGGAAAAAACGCTCCCAGGCAGGACTTGAACCAGGTACCTCTCGTATCTCAATCATGGTCTTTGACCAACCCACTGTGCCTGCCTGGTCAGATACAATGATGGAGAGTTACTCTCAACTCGTATCTATATTTCCTTTTCCTTTCTACATAATTATTATTATTCTTTCTGGTGCTCACTTGGAGTCAGGCCATTCTTCAAGCTTATCGACTCTACGCCGGCTCTACATGATAGCTAGAAAGTATGCACCAATAGAGATTGGTTACTGCACAGTTCTCCTGTGATATTGAAAAAATTCCTGAAAGGCATTAGAATAATTTCAAATTTATTCAGCGGATGCCCATATAATTGCGTGTATGCGTGTTTGTGTACGTGTGAGTGTGTGTGTGTGTGTGTATGTAACATGGTGTGTGTGTGTGTGCGTTACATGGTGTATGTGTGTGTATGTGTATGTGTGTGTGAATCTCTGTGTACATGTATATACACCGAACAGGTATGGGTTATTCACGGCCGGACCAGTGCCGTGCAAGACTTCAAAATGGATTCGTCCAAGGAGTAACTGGCAAATCAACACACCGTCACACATCTACACATACATGTACATGTACATATGTACATGTGTCCATTTAGGTGCTCCTTCAGTTCTCATTCAAGTTACCCATTTCTCTACTCTTCTTACTAAATCAGTGAATTGTTTTTCACAATATGTTTGCAAGACAAATGTCCACCACTGTTGTACATGACACAAGATTGGCTTGGGTACCCCGTAAGGAGACCATAGCCAGGTCTGTGGGAACTGCCCTAGAGAAATATGAATAAATAAATAAAAGAGTCTCGCTTCAGGACTTCTTGTGCATTACTGCATTTAGTGGTATTGCAGGAAAAGTTGGGGCATCAAACATTTCCACATTCGCGACTGAACTTTCCGCTCCTATTAAAATTTATTATTACAAGTACATGACTGTATGTGGTTGTTCGCGTAGACATCAGTATGGCCTGCAGCTGCATGGGCACTTACATTGTAAATCATGCAAACCAGCCAAAGGTATTCGCATAAGCTACTTCGAATAGATACGAAAGACCACAACAGTTTCAGCGAAAAGAAGACAAAAACTAGACTGCCCACACCACTCGGCCGGGCACAGATGCCCAACCAACCGCTTCGGTCAGCAGCAAGGGCACGGAAAGCCTCCAGATCGACTTTGCTTGACAAGGAAAGTCCAATCCGCTTGGCATCATCTTGTAGTACTAGTAGTGTTGGTAGTGTGTGTCTTGGTCGTCCCCTCCAGCCCGCTGGACGAGGCTCTGCGAAGTACGCTCCCATGGCCAGTGATGGTGGGGAGTCAGCCGGGAGCCGGAGGACGTCCCCAAAGAGCCTCCACCTACAAGGGCGTCGGAACCGCACCGGCCGAGGCGGCCATGGCGCCCCACTTTTTCGGCCGTTTTTTTATTTTTTTTTATTTTTTTTATTTTTTTTAGCACACTGCAACAAAGCGCGATGATCTCAGCGCAAACGTGGCAAATCCTTGTCCCCGATCGTGGTTTGTTGCAGAATCAAAAGTCCATGTAGATCTAATGGCACCAAATGCCTGGGAATGCTTGCAATTGGCTTCAATTGTTGAATTTTTTTCCCTGGGGAGGGTAATGTTTGTCCCCGATCGTAGCATCTTCTTGTTTTTTTGCAGAATCAAAAAGTCTTTCATTGTAGTTACCGTACACTGAAATGGCACCAAATGCCCGGAAATGCTTGCAATTGGCTTCAATTTTTGAAATTTTTTCCCGGGGGAGGACCCCCGGACCCCCCTTCCATGGCCGCCCCACCTCCAAAGTCCTTCCGACGGGCCTGACCTAGCTCTCAAGATGATGATAGTGAGAGGAACCGCGCCGGCACGCTCATAGAGCCTCTCATTCCTGATCCGATTCAGGAACACAATGCCGATTAGCGCAGCTGTTTTCGGTACCATCAGTAGTCACGAAATCCACATCGTCGCCGTTCCGCTCCTAGCTTGCTTTAGCTTTATTAGGAGCTACTAGCCTACCGGTAGTACATGCCTGCTGTACTACAGTAGTACTAGTCTGGCCTTCGGTGAATATCAATGCAGTTTTCAAAATAAAAGTGCCGGGGCCGGGGATTATCTACGTTGTTTGAATACTCAATCTGCGTTTTTTCTATTCGAACTGTTTCGTCCTTTGTGAACTCGTCAACGCAGCACAGAGAAAATGAGGCCGTACTACAATCAGGTACACTACTAGTGTAGGTCTACGTGGGTGTGCACGTGCGTATGAAAACTATGCATTGCCAAGATTGACATGACACTTGACAGGAAAGTAGCGCTAGTAGTACTAGTACTAGTAGTAGTAGATCTACTCAGTGCCGCTGTGTGTGTGTAGTAGTAGTAGGTCTACTAGTAGATCTACTAGTACTAGCCCTGCACAGGACTAGTCGACTCCATTATATCTGTCCATGGAGATCACCAAGCTCATGCACGTGTCTCTACTCCATGGATCCACACGATCCTGGTTAGGCCCTAGCAAGAGATGTCGTTCGTGCTTTCACCACGCGATTTTCGACGCACCGGACCCGTATCCCCACTGAGTACTATTATTATAGTAGAGTCTAGACTAGAGCCTGGTCCCCGGCCCCAGGTCCCTGCAAAGCTGCATAATAGTCTAGTCTTGTCTTACTACAACAAGTAGTTTGTTTATACTATTACTATTAGTGATTGAGTATTATGGTACTAGTACTAGTACTAGTACTAGTAGGAGTAGTGTCTTCGGCTCGTGTGCCAGTCTTCAATCATGGTCTTGATATGAAGAGCTGATCCCTCAACCGACAGCTAGCTCTTCGACTTCCTTTCCACGTCGTTGCGTGCACTCGTGGCCACTATCTGAGCATTCTACATTCTTGGAGACCTGGGTCTAGGCTGGGACGGTGAGACTGAGTTCTTGATTTCAGATAGGCCTTGCAGCGCGGATTCGGTAAGCTCAGTAGTCTAGCTGAGCTAGTCCTGGCAGAGTTGTGATGTGTTCACGGAGGTGAGCCACTATGCCACACTTCCCTCATCTACGCCACATTCAGGACACGAACACCAGCCTGTCTCTGGATGTGGCGACTGCGCGCTCTCCGGCTAACAGCGACAATGGAAGCCCTGAGGAAACCGGACGCTCGGCGTTTGGTCGTAGTGACGTCTCGCCGCTACGTCGCTCGCACGGCATGCGGCGGAAGGAGAGAAGGCACAATAATCGTGTAGTGCGTAAGCAGCGCACCGTCGGTGATGACGATGCCGGAAAAGCTACCGAAATGGAACGTAGCGCCAGTGCCTCTCCTCTCCGTTTCGCGCGTGATCGCTGGCTGCACGGAAAAGCAACACCGGATAGTGCCTCACCATCACCGGCACGGTCTGCAGGTGATCGAGCGCCGCACCAAAGTGCATTGATCCACGCTAGCGCCGAGGCTAGCCGTCATATGCGCGAAGTAGCCGCTGAAGGATCCACGAAGATTCTACGGCGGAGATCGTCCGCCAGCTACATAAACAACGTAGCGGGAGTCTTGAACTGTGATCCGACAATCATGAGGCGAGCTGTCGACGTCAGGAAACCTGGGCCCGCACTGGTGTCCCGGGACCAGTCCGGAACCGACCTGGCTGCTGCCGTACGTAAGCGACGTGCGGAGCGTAGCGGAGGTGACGAAGATGACGATGCTCCGCGCGCATCGAACGCACTGAAAGCACTGAAAGCAGAGCCGCCGCGCCACGAGCCCACTGCTGCAAGATACCTGCGGGCGCAGAGTGTCCCGAGTTATGACCGCACTCCCACTGTGAGCGGTCCAGCAGGCACACAGACACCAGTTGACACTGATAGTGATAGTGAGGTGGAGATGTGGCTAGAAACCTATGAGCACATTTCCATGCCAGGCGAGGGGGAAATACCCTTACCAGGCAGTACAGCAGCAGAGAACAGGAGCACAAGGCTAGATGTTGGCACGGCGACCCAGCGTCGCAGGGAATCGTCCGCTTACAGTGACTTCGACATCGTGTCCGTTGCCGACGAAACGGATCGCGTCCTACTGGACCTGAGCGGGGAGAGCGAGTACGCGACGGTTAGGGGCACAACGCAGGACAAAAACATGCGCTGGGAACACACGGAGAGTAGTCGTGGCATACATGGCGGTAGCGGCGGCTGTGCGGCAGGATGGAAGACGGCCAGCGGTGAGCGGCGTCAGAAAGGCTGGCAGCGTCGGTCCATGCGGCTGGGCACGGAGGAGCAGCCGCCAATCCGGCTGCGCGCTGACACCGAACCCTCAGAACGTCACCTCCAGGGAACGGCATCATCGTCTCACTATACCACAGTAAGGAGAAGTAACCCGCGGAGTTCTCTTCCCAGCACAAACAGTACCAGCTCGCCTGCTTACACGAAAAAAACGGGCAGATCAGCGACATTAGGAACCGACAGCCGTAGCCTACGGGACATGACTGGCTCCCTGGATGACGAGTTTTCATTATCCGTGGATCGACCAGAGTTCGGTTTCGAGGGTCTGCCGGCGAAATCCGTCTCCACGGTTACCACGCTATCGCCGCAAGGTGATCTGCCGAGAGCAAGGTCGGCAGATGGCAGCGGTCAACTGTCAGCATCAGGACCCGTGCTACGCCATCTACCATCCTGTGTGTTTCAGGTGACGTGCGCATACGGCCCGGACATGAAGGCCAAGGTGCTGTCTGAGTGTCCAAAGGTAAGAGCACTGTGTCTGTCAGTTTGTCCGCAGGCGGTATCGCCGTGCTGTGCATGCAAGGGTGCATGGGGGTGAGGAGTGAGTATGTCTGTGTGTGTGGGGTGAGGGGGGGGGGGGGGGGAGGTTGAGGGGTGAGTGTGTGTGAGTGTGGGTGTGTGTGTGGGGGGGGGGGGGGGGTGGTGAGGGGGTTGTAGGTGAACATGTGTGTATGCATACAAGTCCCTATGATAATAATTATTATTATACCAAGCTCAGTGAAAGACATTCATCTAGGTTGTAAGCTGTAACCAACATAATCGTCCTCCACTGGGTCTGCTGTGTTCTATGCTCTTTGACATTGAGCTATGGCTCTGTAATACAGTCGTCCCTCTCTAATCCGGCACTTTATAATCCAGCACCCTCGATAAACCAGCACAATTTTCAGTAGCCAAAATGTCCCCTTCATGTACATTGCAGCAGTAAATCAGATTTGTTAATCCAGCACCCTCCCAAATCCAGCAGATTTTCGTGGCACAAATGGTGCCGGATTATAGAGGGACCACTGTATGCATGCATGGCACGCTTGTTCTTACAGCCTTCACTTCCACAGTGATGCTTTCATTCGACACGAAAAACTCCGACCACTCACTCAGCATGCTGGCGTATTCCTGGGTTAGTTGTGGGCATGATCCGAGAATTTCAGAGGCAAACAGGAGATGATCGGAAAGCGGCGTATTTGGTGTTTGTGGCATGTACGGCCATATGTAATGTATCTCACTCGGCGCTTTATCTGTGGCAATCTGGGGCAATGGCTTGTTGGCCACTTGTGTCCATTACCTGTGCAATTATACGTCAGTTTGTCAACACCTTTCTAATCGTATCGCCAGAGAAATGGTTGTGGCAACCGCTGATAAACATGGTCAATGCGCAGGTTGCAGACCGATCTACACGTATATACTATGTTTATATGAAGATCAGAGGTCATGTCGGATTGAGTTGCAGCTTAAAGTTTCATGCTCAAGCAATCATCAGACAATTTGCTTCGGCATGAAGTGTCAAGTTGCAACACAGTCCGACCTTCATATCTATTCATTACTCTTCGGACTTTTTGAGGAAAAGTTGCAAACGGGAAAAGCAGCAATTGACCGTCACTCCCTGGACACGAACCAGGGATCCTCGTTTATGGCCAGCGATGCTCTGCCATTATGCTATGGTGTAGTCGACATGTTTCCAATTTTTAATTTTTTGTTGCTAGGAACATGGCATGTATATACTGTGCAGCAGGAAATTTTCGGACGGAATTTAGTTTCGTACGATTTCGTCCACAGCCTCTTTTGTACTAAAATTGATGCCGTACTAAAATTTGTTCCTGTGAAATTATGTGTACACTATAGATGCGTACCGCATGAGAACACATGCATTTATCGTGCAGCACTGTACGAAAATAAAATCCGTACGATACGTCAAAAATTGGCTTTGTCCGAAAGTATTTCCGTCCGAAAATTTCCTGCTATACAGTATGACTACTACAGTATTCACTTCGTCTTGGGGGTTAGACATGGGGAACAGCGTAATACAAGACACAGGGCATGTTGCCTTGAGGGACAACCTGCCCGTCGTCTCGGCATGTGTGGGTCACCAAAGATAAACAATGTGTCCCGAGAGGATTCCTAGAGCACATTCTTCAAAGTAGGGCTGAGTTGGGTAGCATTTTCTTCGGGTATCGTTTTCGGGTAATTTCCCACGGGTAGCACGGGTACCCGATCGGGTACTGTTTCCATGGTAACACCACAATACACACCTTCCCTTACACACTGGGTAGACATGCGGAGTATTACATGAGTTTGTACACGTGCACTGTACACAATGTCACCTGCGACTTCGGGTTTTCGCGGTTCTATTCTGTACCGGTCTACGCGAGGTCGTCACGGGTGGCACGGGTACTTGACTGCCCGTGCACACCACTCATGGCCAGCAATCGAGGACATCTGAGAGTTGTAATTTTTGTACTCCTCCGAGGTGTGATTTTTGGCGTGCTGGGCCAAGCACAAGGAAGCCATCTGAAAAAAAATGCAGAAAATGGTTGTTGTTTGATCCTTTGGTGTAATCTTTGTTTCTAGTCGAAGCTAGTTGCTGTTTGGAGCAGAAACGCTGAAGTTGACTATTTTCTGCATGTACTCATACATGTACTCATGTACTCAGGCATGCAGTCTCACTCGTATTTTAGCTATTTTCTGGAATGGATGCTGCTCTGCACCCCTTGGTGAACATTTCCTGCGCTCGTGGAGCAGCTGAAAAGGACCACTGGTATGTCTGGTTCCTGGTTTGAAAGTGGAGAGTCGACTTTTGTGCCTTGAAAAAGGAGTAGAGAGCGATAAAGGTACGTCTGTGGCTGATTTTCGAGTGCTCCTCGTACATTTTTGATCGTGATAGAAATTCTCAGACCAAAGTCAGACCAAAGTCAGCGCGATGATGGTCGTACAGTTTTCTTGTGAATTTTTTAGTTGTTTCATCTCGTATCTATGTCAGTATCGTGATGGTGAAGTGGAGAGGGTGATTTTCTTCCTCTCGGCTTCGTTCGGCCGACTTTGCTTCGTCCTCGTTGAAAAGCGATCCTGAAAAAAAGGTCGATTCGCAAAATTATGTTGATTTTCAATGTACGAGATGACATGCGATTGCTGGCTATGACTTCAAAGCAACCGGTGCTATGGGTTCTCTGCCGAGGCACATGGTAGCACTGTATAATCTGAAATACTCGTCTAGAATATATTTTCATCATTTTCTTCCAAGGCGTTTTCGGACTAAAATATGCCGGACTAACGCCATCTATAACAAGAAATGAGGACCAAGGAACTACAAGTTAGGTATAATGTCCACTCATTTCTTCTTATACATGAATCCTTGGCTGTCCACTCGAGTCTACCAGCCATCTGTCCAGCTTTTCAGCATGATTTACAATCCGCGGACTAGACTTACGACTGGACGAACTCCCTTTCTTTGAAATTGGATGAAATCATTCACCAACTAGATTTTCTGCCTGTAGAGTATGTTGTGGCCGCTTCACTTTTGTCACTACTGTCGACAGTACTGACAAAAGTGAAAGTCACAACATACTCCAGATGACGTCCTGATGTCAGTAGGAAGTTGACAGCTACAATCACAATGAAATGTTTTAAATAGACTTGCACGGTACGAGACTGACGAGTACTAGTGGTACATGAATGTACTAGCACCTATTCAGTGAGACTGAGCAGGTATTCTTGGTATTCAGCGTCTTTGGTTTCTCAAGGGTGTCGTCAAGTGGTCTTTTGCTCTGTCACTGACCACTGCAAGATGCATGATACCCTCTTAATTTGATCTTGCAATCCAGAAATAATTACATGTAATTGCCGCTGTCCTGCTGCACATGGCCCATCATTGTACATTCTAGCTACTAGTAGATCTACTATGCATGTAGTTTCAGTAAACTAATTACTTTTCGGCTCTCCATCAACAATTCTGCTGAAGTACATGCCTGTATGCTTTGCGGGTAGGTGGACGGAAGTAATGTCCTTGTCACTTCATCATGATCTTCAGTTATTATGATTTGGATTGCAGTCCTACGTCAGTCCAGTGTAAAGTCGCCCAGGAGGCATAAACCATGGTCGAAGTACATGAAGCCTTGAAGGAGCAACTAAACGTACTTCGTGTACATCAGGAGTGCCCATTCTGTGGCATTGACCAGGCTTTTTTTCGGGTGCACGTACTGTGATCTGGTTGGTTGTTACAGTGCTGGACCGTCTAACACTAATAGCCACAAATATTCATTAATTTAACTGAAGGAATGGAAGAGGGGAATAGTCATAAAGTGACATTATTTTAAAGAAATATATTTACTTTCACATAATGACAGTGGATATCCGGTGATTTATTTTGTTTTGTTTCACAAAAGACCCTGCCGGCTCAGGACAAATACCTGGAACAACAGGTAAAGAAAAGAGGGTTTGTCAACTGACAACCGCTCTATTCAGTCCGCATGCCCTGGATGCAAAATTCTATATTGTGATGTCGAAAAGTTATGACGTTTTGGGCCAGTCACCGATCGTGAGAACAATTTACAATGGAATAACCTGGCCTTTTATAGTGAAAGCAGGCGAGAGCGTATGTAGGTCCATGTACAAAAACAAACGAAACACACCACAGCCGTATAAAATAATTGAGTGTATGAATTGGCATGTACAACAGACAAGGTTATGATGCAGTTGCGTGATTGTCCACCGCTTTCTTAGTGAAGAGGTAAAGAGGTGGGGAAACCCCTAAGCACCACAGTACATGATGTACACCTACATGTTCCTGATCAAAACGTGCAACTGGATTTTAGAGTACTGTATATCAAACTTACAAAGTTTCGTTTGGAATTCACTTTCGCTATATTCGTTAGGGGGCACGAAAAAACTAAGGTTTATACCAACCAGTTTCCTACCAAACTGAAGTATTGTGTCTGAACATTCGGGGTGACAGACCTCGACCAAAAACGAAATTTAGTACGTAACGAGCCTGCTGGTGGAGTGATCTAACGAAAGATTTCGTGAACGAATTGTTTTACTTATACAGTCCCCTGCCTTCGACAACCACACACTCTGCGCACAGCCTCCTGCCTAAGATAACACCGCTAGCCCCCACATTCTCACAGCTTTTCATACCTTCTCCTGGCATATATACTGGCATGGTCGGCACCCAACCTTCATGTTGCCTAATGATTGATTGCGAGAGCATGAAACTTCAAGTCGCAGCAAACAAGCCTTGATTGTCCTTGTTGTTCTGTTCTGTACTTATTATACAGTATATATGTACATGTATGTACAGCCGCGATTCCATGATATAGAAAACATTTGGAAAACTGCCTGAAGTGTGCTCCATACGCAGGATGCACAGCTCTTTACATAACGGAGGCAAGGGGATCCAAGTGACAGAATGTTGTGTTTCAGAACTTTAGAACTGTTTATGCCGAAGTAATCATCAAATAGCTGTTGTTTCTAATC